CCATACACAAAACTCAACTCAAACTGGATCAAGGACCTAGGAATTAGTCTAGAGACCCTATGCCTAACAGAGGAAAAATTAGTCCTAAATCTTCATCACATTGGATCAGGCCTCAGCTTCCTTAACAAGACTCCTATCACACAAGAAATAAAATCAAGAATTAATAAAGGGATGGATTCAAACTAAAAAGCTTTTTATCAACAAAAGAAACAATCAATAAGGTGGAAAGAGAGCCTACATTTTACTAATTTTTGCTGCACATATTTCAGATAGAGCACTATTCTCTAGGATATATAAAGAACTCAAAAAACTTAATACCAAGAAAACAAACAATCTAATTCATAAATGAGCTAAGGAGGTGAACAGACATTTCTCAGAAGAAGATATAAAATGATCAACAATATATTAAAAAATGTTCAATATCTCCAGTAATTAGAGAAATGCAAATCAAAACTACTCTATGATTTCATCTCACAACAGTCAAAAATGCCAATTATTAGGAATACAGACAAAAATAAAAATGTTAGTGATAATGTCGGGGAAAAGGCACACTCATACACTGCTGGTGGGACTGCAAATTGGTACATCCCATCTGGAAAGCAATATGGGGATTCCTCAAAAAACTTGGAATGGAACCACCATTTGACCAGATATCCCACTCCTTGAACTGCATCCAAAGCATTTAAAAACAGCATACAACAGTGATGGAGCCACATCAATGTTTATAGCAACACAATTCACAATAGCTAAATTGTGGAACCAAACTAGATGCCCTCAATAGATGAATGGATAAAGAAACTGTGGTATATATACACAATGGAATATTACTCAACATTAAAAGAGAATACAATTATGGCATTTGCAGGTAAATGGATGGAGTTGGAGAATATCATGCTAAGCGAAGTAAGCCAATCACAAAAAACAAAAGCCTAATGTTTTCTCTGATAAGTGGATGTTGATCCACAAAGGGGATGGAGGAGGCATGGGGAAAATGGAGGAACAGTGCTTGGGCAAAGGGGAGGGAACATGGGGCATGTGCATTTGGATAGGAAAGACGGTAGAAATAGATGGACATCATTATCCTAGGTACACAAATGACTGCGTGTATGGAGTGAGGCTACATTGTGTAGAACCACAGAAATGAAAAATTGTGCTGAAAATGTGTACAATGAATCAGAATGCATTCTGCTTTCATATATACCTAAGTAAATTAAATAAATTATTTACAAAAAGGCAGGGGGGTAAAGACTTCACATAGAAGAAATAAACACATATAATATATATTATATGTATATATAAACATATAATTTATATCTATGTACACATATATATGTATATATACACAATATAAATTATATGTATACATATATTTCATATATATATATATATAATTTAAGTACACAGAATTAAAAATAAAGTGAATTCACTGAGGGAGGGAGAACCTGAGTTCAAATAGAGTAATTATTGATTAATTTAGTCCATTCCTCTTTTTGATAAGAGATTTATCTGATGGCTAAAGCAAGGACTACCCTTGGTAAATGTTTTAGGTGATCAAAATCTGCTACTTTTAGGTGTTCCTTCACCCCTTTCACCAATAGAAAAGATAATCTATCTTACATGTCACCAAAATAGCTTTTAAACATCTTCCAAAACAAAACTGAACAAACAAGCACTTGATCAATCTGTCAAGATTGTTGGAAGATTTTTATGTCTTCTGAATTGTGTTTTACTCATCAGTATCCCAAAAAAGCAAATGTTCATTTAAGCTTTAAGCAGCTATGTTCCACATGGCTCACTCTATCACAGACAGAAGATAGCCAGTTCCACAAAATGACCACAATTGGTGGAGAAAATCCTCAGTGTGTACCTTAATGGAACAACAAACATGGCCTGCTGATGTTTTTAGTAACCTTTTTCTTCACCAGTGAAGTAATTTTTGAAAGTTGAGGCTGCAATAGGAAAGAATGGAATATATTACCCTTTAAATATATAGCTGCAGATGCAGGACACTTCTCAGATTTTCCTACAATAGCTTGGCTGGTTGTGAGAGCATCTTATCTCTGATAAGATGAAAGTGCCTACTATGTGAGAGTACATTTACCTTGCTTGACTTTTTAAGCTAGTGGATACTGACTTCATACACCGTTTTTCTGTTCAAATTTCCAATTGTGTTTATGGCTGAATAGTGTGTATCTCAACAAAGAGGAGGCCATTATCTTGTGTTTCCCAAGGCTTTTAAAAGTACAGCCACTTTTTTTAAAAAAGGAAATCCTATAATTCCTCTAATTTTTACAGTTAAAAGGACATCAAGGATTAGTATTAATAGATACTTATTAATACATGGTTTAGGGATACATGAGAAAAGTTGTTGCAGTGTTTCTTTTTTATTTTTTTTATTTGTTCTTTTTAGATATACGTGACAGTAGAGTCTATTTTGACATATTATACATAAGTGGAATATAACTTCCCATTGTGTGGTTGTACATGATGTGGAGATTCACTGGCATGTATTCATATATGAACATAGAAAAGTTATGTCAGATTTATACCATTATCTTTCCTCCTCATATCTCTCCTGCCTTCACTTCATTTCCCTTTGTCTAATTCAATTAACATCTATCCCTTTTCCTCCTTATTGTATGTTAGCACCCACAGTTGTCTTCTGTGTTGCTAAGGTTTAGTGTCAAAGCAAGCCAAACTTGGGGACCTATAAAATTCTTTGTATTAACACATTTATGATCAATTTGTGGTTGAATAATTTGGGATACATAGTCTTTATTTGAGTTGGTATTGAAAAATATGAAAAAAATTCTCTGGTAGTGAAGCCTTAGTAAATAATAAGCTTTTCCTGGTCATTTCAGAAGAAGATAATAGGGATCTATTAATAAAGAGGATGCATCAAGTGTTGTATAGAAATGCACCTTGAAAGCATACCTAGTCATTAATATGTTTTACTTTGGGAGGGGAAAGCTCAAAAAAAAACAAGGGAATTTTTTTGGTTATATCTTGCTCTATGTTTATGGAATTCTCATTTCCTTCTTTTGATTTTTCAGTGAGAAGGTCTTCAGTTAAATGAGCAAAATAAAAAGTGTGTTTCTCCTCTGTCCCAAGAAGCCACAGTATAATTGTGATTGATCAGGTGTCACAGGCAGTCAATGACAAGGTCCCTGTGGATGTGAGCACTGTGGGGCAGTTGTGCTGGGACGTTCATCCCTCATGAGAGCTGTGACAGAGGATCAACCAACTTCTGTAGATTTATTATCTGAGAAAAAATAGCTGTCTCTTTGATTTTTGCCCTTGGAATAGACACTGCTTTCTCTGTTACATATATGTTGACCTGCTTCCAAATTCTTAAGAGGAACTGGGCATAGACATCAGGGTTCGGAACAGGCTAAGTGAGGCCTCTGTTTTATCTGTTTCAGTACCTTTTAGATGTTCCTTCACCTCTGGTGTAATTTGTTTTACTCCTTCCTACTCCATCTGAATATTCAACACTCTCACATACTCACTTAACTTTTTTAAAAAAATATTGGTGACTTTTATGTGCATCATTAAAGGATGTTCCATACTGGAGTGATGGCTCCCCATTCTAAACTGACCATTTTCCTGTCCTGTTACTGGGCACTTAAGGAAGGAAATCACCTATCTTGAAAGTGTGCATATTTTCTTTCTTTCTTTCTTTCTTTCTTTCTTTCTTTCTTTCTTTCTTTCTTT